TGGGGGTGGGTGGGGGGGGGGGGGCGTCTCGGGGGCTTCTCGGAGGCAGTTTTGAAGCCCTCTTGGCTGCTTTTGGGCCTTGTGGAGCTTCTTTCGGGCCTCGTGGGGGCGAGGCCTCGCTGGCGTTCGCTGGGATATCGCGGGGGGCTTCTCGTGGGGCCAGCGCGGGCCGGCACGGCGCAATCAATGTCGACGCGCATGCTCTGAAGCCAATTGGCGGAGCTGCGTCCCGCGAGCCCGACGCGGAGCACTCCGGGGATTGCGATTTCGGCGCGCGTGTTTTGAGGCCACTTTGCGCAGTGGCGCTCCGCTAATCGGACTCGGGCCCCCCCCGCGAATCGCGTGCTTCGAAGCGAATTAGCGGAGCGGCGCCCCGCTAATCCGACTCGGTGCTTCGCGTGCTGCGGGGCCACTTTGCGGGGTGGCGCCCCGCTAATCCGACGCGGATCATTCCGAGGGTCGCATGCTTCAAGGCCAAGCTGCGGAGCAGCGCTCCGCAAACCCGACGCGATGCATTCCGGGAATCGGCGCGCGTGGTTTGCGGCCGAATAGCGGGGCACTCTGGGAGACGGCGCGCATTTTTCGGGGGCAATATTCGGAGCGGCGCTCCGCTAATCCGACGCGATGCACTCCGGCAATTGGGGTCGGGGCCCTTTTGAACGCACCTCAAGATTGAGGGCTGAGGCTCAGGGGATGTAGGCAAATCACCCGAGGACGCCCCCACTCCGCGCCCAGAGGCATGGTGATGTATTGCAGCAGAAAGCCATCATATCGACCAGCATCTCAGCAGACGGAGAGTACAGTTCATAGAGAAGAAGACATATCTTGTGCACGTTGGACCGCTGAGGTCCAACGTTGAGGCCCTAGAGTTCGAGCGAGCCCAGAAGTTAGCAGAACAGCGAGCGGGCCCAGCTGGTAGGAGGCAGCCTCGGCGAGCCGGCGCCCAACCTACCGAACCCCTAGCCCCAGCTGTCTGTCCCGCCTTCGCGTGTGCCCACGCACTTGACGAGCCAGGCCGTAAGTGTGCAGTCTGCAGAGGCTTCGCCACTCTTGAGAAGCGAGTAGTCTGGTAGAGAGCAGAGTCAACTTCAAGTGTAGATGGCGCTAATACGAGACCCCCTTTGGGTAAACAGGTTCGCGTAAACGGGGGGATGCATTCCACTCTGGGCTGGGGATGTTGTTTTGTTTCCAGTGTGGTATGTCTGTCGTTTTTTTTTTTTGTTGTTGTTGTTGTTGTTGTTGTTGTTGCTGTTGCTGTTGCTGTTGCTGTTGCTGTTGTTGTTGTTGTTGTTGTTGTTGTTGAATATTATTACTTCTAAAGAATAATTATTGTTGGGCCCCCTGGTGCACGCCCCCCTCGCCGCGCCTAGGCCGCAGCCACATTTTCATCATTTTCGTGAGGAAGCCTCAGGTAAAACGATGTGATCCAGATTCGGTTGTTTTGTTGTAATCCGCTTTCCCTTGCAAAAAAACACTATAAAATGAAATTTCTTGTTCTAACATATCCAAACTTCAAGAATCCCTTGCAAAAAATAAGGTAAAGTGGACATTCGCGCGCGCAAGACGAAATCCTTCCAAAACCTTAGTTTTCGTAGCGATTTTAACATAAAAACATCAAAAAACCAATGGTTTTTCAAAAAAAAATTGTCGAAATTTCATCCGCGCGCTCTTGCGGATTCGTAGGAAACCCAACACTTTTTAAACATTTCTGTCAAACGGGCTTTTGCGAGCAACTTTTTCGAACTTCTGCAACAACGGTTGCGCACCTGCCAGGGCCATCATCCCTGTCAAATAATACCATGCGGGACACATTCGTTTTTTCTTCGCGCGCGCACGCCGTCGTCGTCGGCCGCGGGGCCCTGAATAGTAGCCACGGTCGTCCGCATGCCACGAAGTGAAGTGTCCGAACGTCATAGGGCGGGAAGCTGGGTGTGGGTGGTGGCGAAGAGTCGTTTGGAAATTTGGTAGAGCTTGAACCGGCCCCCCCACAAAGTGGGGGTATTGCCCGCCTCCTATGAAAACCCTGGCACTGGTGAGAACGGAGTGTCCCCAGTCTAATGATTGTTGTTGTTGTTGTTGTTGTTGTTGTTGTTGTTGTTGTTGTTGTTGTTGTTGTTGTTGTTGTTGTTGTTGTTGTTGTTGTTGTTGTTGAACATTATTACTTCTAAAGAATAATTATTGTTGGGACCCCTGGTGCACGACCCCCCCGCCGCGCCTAGGCCGCAGCCATTTTCATCATTTTCGTGAGGAAGTCTCAGGCAAAACGGGTTGGTCCGGATCCGGTTGTGTTGTTACGATCGGTTTTCCCTTGCAAAAAATAAGCTAAAGTGGACATTTCTTGTTCTAACATAACCAAACTTCAAGAATCCCTTGCAAAAAATAAGGTAAAGTGGACATTCGCGCGCGCAAGACGAAATCCTTCCAAAACCTTAGTTTTCGTAGCGATTTTAACATAAAAACATCAAAAAACCAATGGTTTTTCAAAAAAAAATTGTCAAAATTTCATCCCGCGCGCTCTTGCGGATTCGTAGGAAACCCAACACTTTTTAATCATTTCTGTCAAACGGGCTTTTGCGAGCAACTTTTTCGAACTTCTGCAACAACGGTTGCGCACCTGCCAGGGCCATCATCCCTGTCAAATAATACCATGCGGGACACATTCGTTTTTTCTTCGCGCGCGCACGCCGTCGTCGTCGGCCGCGGGGCCCTGAATAGTAGCCACGGTCGTCCGCATGCCACGAAGTGAAGTGTCCGAACGTCATAGGGCGGGAAGCTGGGTGTGGGTGGTGGCGAAGAGTCGTTTGGAAATTTGGTAGAGCTTGAACCGGCCCCCCCACAAAGTGGGGGTATTGCCCGCCTCCTATGAAAACCCTGGCACTGGTGAGAACGGTGTCCCCACGTGCTAGTAATTGTTGTTGTTGTTGTTGTTGTTGTTGTTGTTGTTGTTGTTGTTGTTGTTTTTTGTTATCCCTTTTTTCTCCCCCACAAATCGGTAAGTTGGCAAAGTGCTGCAAGGCCTTTACAGCTACGGGGCGTGGGTATGTAAGACGGCTCAGTGTGGGACTTTGGCCCAAAGGACTGGGCAAACCCAGAAAAACAATCACCATCAGTAGGTGCAGGCGGACTTCTGTGAATCCATATCGCTACGCGACCAGGCAGGAACCGCAGAGACTCCTTCTCTTCTCTTCACCTCCCCTCTCCTCCCATCGCCCGCCTTCTCTCCTCCTTCTCCAGCCCTCCCTCCCCTCCCTTTATATCCCCTCCCACTCTTTCCCTCCCCTCTCTCCCCCCTTCCCGCGCTGGCGGGGGAACGGGGGAACGAGGCAACGCCGGCTCCTCCTCCTCCTACCTCCTTCCTTCCCTCCTCCTCCTCCTCCTCCTCCTCCTCCTCCTCCTCCTCCTCCTCCTCCTCCTCCTCCCTCCTCCTCCTCCTCCTCCTCCTCCTCCTCCTCCACAATTTCTCAATATGAATACTACTCTCCCTCTTCCCCTGATGGCGTCCGGAAATATTCGACCCCCCCCCGCGTACTGTTTTTTTACACACAGGATTCCCGGGAGTTGGGTTTTCGCCTGCGTTTTTTTTCAAAATGCTGCTCTCGCTGAGGCGCCGGCCTCATTTCTGCTCCCGAATCGTTCCGAATCGTGCTCCCGCTGCAGCGTGGGCCTCATTTTCGGATCGGTGTTTGGCCTCCGTCGTTCAGGATGGCGTTCTCGCCCCAGCGCGGGCCTCTTTCTCGCGCGCCCATCCGCCCGCCACCACCGCGCCGCACCACGCCCCGCCCCGCCGCACGCACACCCACCGCCACTTCCACCCACCAACGCACGCACGCACGCACGCGCACCACCACCGCGCACCGCCACCACCACCGCACTACCCCACCCACCACCACCACGCTACACCGCGTCACACCACATCACACGCGCGCACACAGACACACACGCACGCACGCACACGCACGAACACACACACGCACGCACGCACGCACGCACACCCACACACACTCACACTCACACTCACACTCACACTCACACACACTCACACTCACTCACTCACACACTCACACTCACACTCACACTCACACTCACACTCACTCACACTCACACTCACACTCACACTCACACTCGCACTCGCACTCACACTCACACTCACACTCACACACACACCACCGCCACCACCACCACCACCGCCATCACGCACGTACGCACCTGGCCCACCACCAAACCACCAAGACGCCACACCACGTCACACCACAGCACACGCTTACACACGCACGCACACACACATACACACCACCACCACAACAACCACAACCACGCACACACGCACGCACGCACGCGCACCACCACCCACTACGCACACGCGCGCGGAGCCACAGGTCCGCTACGACACGCGTCCGCGGATAGAGAAAATCAGCGCCATGGTAAGGGATGGGAGGGAGGGGTATGATGTCAGATGTTGACGCGAGCGTACCTAACTTGCCTTCTCCTCCTCCTCCTCCTCCTCCTCTTCCTCCTCTTTGGCCAGGGCTGTGCAGCGTGTCCATCCTGGGCACGCGGCGGCGCAGGTGGCCCGTGCCTCGGTGGCGTCGCCCGCCTCTGGCCCCGTGGCGGCCCCGCAGCCCGCACACTCCAGAGGCCACGGCCTCGTCTCGGTGCGACCGCAACGGAGACGGGCAAAGGCCAGCAGCAAGTCCTGCTCATCTTGAACAGGATTCGCTGCCTGCGTCGCCGCGGGCGTGGTCCATTTGGAGCACAGGCTCGCCTGCCCAACATCGGCCGCTGTCGGTTTTTTGGACGACGCATGCTGCTGGGCATCGCGCCCCCTTTTGCCGTACCGGTTGCGGGCGCGCCTGTCCTTCACCTGGTCTTGGCCAGGCTTGGACGCTTGTCCGCACTGGTGGTCGCTCGCTCGCGCAGGCGGGCGTGCGCAGGGAGGGGGGGGCGCAGTGTGGCGGCAGGCGGCCGCAAGCGCGCCGTGCATGGGGGGGCCCCGCTCCCAGGACGTCCTGGCGGAGAACGACGGTAGCCTCTCCGGCAAGAAAACGGACCTCCCCGCCGGCTAGGCTTTTCGCTGGGCCTCCCAGGTGGGGTCCGAGTAGGTGGGGTCGGAGAATCGCGCCGCATCGCCGATGCGTCGGCGATGCGGTTTGATGTGGGCCCGCTTGGCTCCGCGGTGGCGTCGCTGGTGCACCGCCGCCGTCGCCGATGCATCGCCTATGTATCGTCAATGCAGCACGGTCCTCTGACCCCATCCACTCGGACCCCATGTGGGAGGCCTCTGGTCTCTTCGTCCTGCTCATGCCATGCTCATGTTTGAACATGCTCTTTCTCAGCCGCTTTGTCTATTCTTCTTGGACGGGCTTCCGCCAATATTTGCGACTGCACCGGTGCGCCGAGGGAATGCCACGATGGTTAGGCCAGGTATCGCGCTTCGTGGTCTTGGCCTGGGAGTCGTTCTTCACGAGGGGTCGCGAGGATGAGAAGATAAGCGCTGATCTCGCGTCGCGCAGTGTGACACGCGAAGCGAGATGACCCTGGGCACGACAACTGCAAGTTGCACCGTCTGCTTGCTCACTTGCCCGGCGCCAGGAGCTCGAGGCGGAGGTCGAGGCCAAAGCCGACGCCGAGGACTTCCTGGTGAAGCTCGAGCCGATGTGTTCCGATAAGGCTAAGGCGCGCTCGCGCCCGCTTCCGGAGGAGGGTCGGAGGTGACGTGAGGAGGAGGGATCAGGAAGAGGCGCAGGGTAAGGAAATTGAGGAGGAAAAGGAGGAGGAGGAAGAGGAGGAGGAAGTCCGTAGCCATTTCGGCTCAAGTCATTTTGGCTCAAGGTAGTTGAGTCAGCCCGCGATTGCGGGGGTCCCTCCTAGTGGCTTCATGGCCTGGGATACCCTTGTGTCTCTGTGCAGCATGCCCAACAAGGGCAACAAGAGCCATGTGTGGAAATATTGTTGGGCGTGCCCTAACAAACCGTGCAACGTCAAAGATATTTACGAGTGGAGGGGCACGTGCTGGGAGTGTGGTACCAAAAAGCCCAAGGCGCCAGGGGTGGTGGTTCCTCCTGCTCCTGGTGGCGATTGGGGCAAGCGCGTGCTCACGGATGAGGAGTTCGCCTCGTGGCTGCAGCTCGATGAGCCCTTCTTCCGCCCCCTCATGCCGTCCCTATCGCAGTCTCAGCGGGACACGCTTTTGCACCGCCATGCCATGACTGCGGCGGGGCTGGCGGAGCCCGTCATGTTGGCAGTGCAGGCCTCGCAGGACGTTGGCACTCTCTCCGGCCAGCTGCTCGCGGCTCGCACTCGGCCTGAGCAGGCGCGGAGGGCGGCCCAGGGAGGCGCTCGCCTCTGGTGGTCGCAGTCGAGGAGGAGGCCTCGGAGCTCCAGGAGAAGGACGCTCCTGCCCGCGCTCGGGCCGCGGGGGCCTTAAGACGTTCCTGGCCGGGGGCCCCAGACGGCCCAGGTCCGCCCGTGGCGCCCGCCCGTGGCGGGGGCAGCGGGTGGCAGCAGCCGTTCCGGCTCCACGGGCGGCGCCGCCCGAGCAGCAGCAGCAGCAGCAGCAGCAGCAGCACCAGCAGCAGCAGCAGCAGCAGCAGCAGCAGCAGCAGCAGCAGCAGCAGCAGCGGCAGCGGCAGCGGCAGCGGCAGCGGCAGCAGCAGCAGCAGCGGCAGCAGCAGCAGCAGCCGCAGCAGCAGCAGCGGCAGCAGCAGCGGCAGCAGCAGCGGCAGCAGCAGCAGCAGCAGCCGCAGGTGGCTCGGGCCCCGGTCGTGCCAAGAGAGCCTTCTGCGTGGCATTGAAATCACGGCGGGCATCCTGGCGGTGCCGCGCGGGAGGGCATCGAGTAGGATGATCACAAGATGCACGCTCTGGACGTTCAGCCCGCAACCCAAGGCGAGCAAGCCGGCGGGCGAGGGCAGGCTGGCCTGTTGGGGTTGAGCGATGTTCCCCCGCGCCAGATGGCAGGAGAGGCAGCGGCGGAGGGAGCAGACGCGTTGGCGCCGCGGCCGCGCAGCCACTCCCCAGCAGAGGTCGCGTCGGCTCCAGTGGCTTTGCGCCGTGGTGCTGCTGCTGGCGGTCGGCGGCAGCGCGGGTAGCCCAGGACACGGTTCGCAGGATCATGGGGGTGGTCTACGCGACGCTCCCTACGGCCGTGGCGACCCAGGCGCTCCCTCGGACCCCAGCGGTGTCCCCCCTGCTCGGCGCGTCGGGGCCTTCGGGGGTCCTGTTCGCGCCTGGATCGCAGCCAAGGGTATCGGGTCGGGAGGAATGATGAGCGGGCTGCTTCGCGGGGTCAGCCGCGGCGCATCGTGGTGATCGTCGGCTGGGTCATCCCTGGTCGGCGTCGGCTTCCTTTGGTGATCGAGGTGGTTTTCGAGGTGACGCCCATCTTGAGGATCGTCAACTGGCTCATCTCTGACTGGTGTCGGCTTCGTCCGTGGGAGTTCGCGGGGGAGCTCGAGGTGGCGTTCTTTATGGCCCTGGCGACCCTTCTGCCCCCTCGGACCCCTCGGTGGCGTCCCTCCTGCCAGGCGCGGCGGGGCCCGCGGGGGCCCCGTCGGCGCTCGGGTCGCAGACGGGAGTGGGCATCGCTGAGCCAGGAGGGGTGATAAGCGGGTAGCCTTCTGGGTCAGTCGCGGCGCGTGCCGCAGATCTTCAGCCAGGCCATCGCTCGGCGGAGGCACCTCCCGAAACTGCTCTCTGTGGTGGCATCGACGACAAGAAGAAGCCCTGGGTTTCTCAACGCCTGCAACACCGCCGGCTGGGCCAGTGCCCAACACTTCTTGCAGGAAGAAGTTTGCGGCGAAGTCGTCGTGCTTCAGGAAATCGGGGCACATCCTGATGCTCATCCTGACTCCGAGGCGCCGCGTGGCAGGCTCGGATGGGAGGCCGGGGCGTCGCTGTCCAGGGGCTCTCGGGAGGCCTTGCGATCGCCGCTCGGCCTCGAATGGGCCTCGGAGAGGCCCCTGTTCCGAGGCGTCCCTGGCCTTCTGAGAGAGTTCGTTTGGCGTGGACCAACGGACTGGTTCAAGGCGGTTTCACTGTTGCCTCAGTTTACTTGATCACGGGCGGTGACCTGGACGACGCCTCTGTCCATGTTTCGTAGCAGTTGGGGCAGGCGCCCAAGGCCCTGGGTCAGCCCCTTGTCTTGGGGGGCGACTGGAACGTGGCTCCGCGGGTTCTCCTGACATCTGGTTGGCCCGGGGCTCTCGGAGCGACAGTCGTGGAGCCGGGCGCATTTGCGCGCGGGGGTGCGGGGACTTCTTGGAGTGCTCTGGATTGCTTCGTGGTGTCGGCTGGCTTCTCCCCTGGCGTTCGGAGGTGTTTCAGACAGCGTGAGTGCAGTGCGGCCCCGCGCTAGGCCTTCCGTCATGAGATATCTGGCAAACACTCGGCCCTGCAGTTGCCTTGTTTCATGCCTCCCAAGCAGATCCCTTTTGGGGGTTCCTACTGCGCCTGCTTGGCCCGAGCTGGATTGGGAGTCTGTGGGGGAAGCTATATCATCGTCGCAGGGGCCAGCGGATTTGCCCGACGTGTGTCGCGAGTTCAGTGGAAAAGGCCGAGGCCGAGTTGTCTCGGTTTTACTGTCGCACTCGGCAGGGCGCGCGGCATTGCCGAGGGCGAGGGGCTGGCGCCATGGTTGGTCCAAGATCTACGCTCGCGAAGATGGAGGGGGGGGCCTGCGCGCGGGCGTCGCCCGAGGGGCGGGCTCGGAGAAAGATCCGGGCTCGACTTCCGGAGCCGCGGTATTTCTTGCAGCGTGGTCAGCTCGAAGCCAGGGGCGCTTCCGATTTGCGACGGGAGGTGTCGGTCTGGGCGGGTCGTCCTCGTGGCGAGCCTGGTTGGGGAGGTTCCAGGGCCCGCCTTGGGGCCCTGGGGCCCTGGGGCTCGCCGATGGGGCTTGCATGGGGCGCTCGCGTCGGCTTCGCGACGGGCCGGGCCAGATGGTCGGGCGCAGTCTTCGCCGATCAGCGCGCCAGGTCCCGGCGCGAGCTGGTCCGGAGGTCCGTCGAGGCAGGGGGCGCGGTCTGGCTCGCAGAGTCTCTGAGGCCCCAGCCGCCCGGCCCCCCGGCCCCGCCGGCGGCGGGCCCCGCGGAGGCGCTGGCGAGGCCCCCCTCGGCCCAGGGTCGGAGTGGGGAGATGGGGGCGGGCTGGGAGCCTGGGGCCAGCGGGCGGGCGCAGCCGCTCAGATCGTAGTTTCGGGCCGGGCGAAAGGGGGGGATTGGGGAAGGGGAAGGTGCGAAATTTGCTGCATGCAGCTGGTTTCGGCCTCGCCGAGGGGCCCAGTCCTCGATGCGTAGCCGCCTCCGGCGCTGGGAGGCGCCGGGAAAATCAGCTACGTGAGCTGATTCTCCCCCCCCCCTTTGCTATCCCCCCCTTTCGCCCGGCCCGATAGTTCCAGGTATCTCGGTTCTCTGGATGTCGGGGGGTCCTGTTTCCTCTTGTTCCTGCTCTGCGCGCTGCTCTTCGCCGAGTCAAGCCTTGGGCGGCCGTGGGGGCCGGCGCGTGGCATCCCCGGGCATTGCGGCAACGTTCGGAGTCTGGTGTGGCGGCGTTCGGGCAGTCCTTGGCTCCTGGAGCACTGCGTGGCTGTCCCGCGTCGGATCGGCGCCGTCGCGATCGGACTTCTGAGCAGGTCAGGCGGCGCAAAGATGCCCATCGGGATCCCGCGTGCCTGCGCGCGCGCGCGCTGGCGGCATGTAGGCGGCTGGGGGCTACAGCTTGGGAGGCTCAGCGGCCCGTGACTGGGCGTTCGTCAGGACGGAAAAAACACACAGACACAATTCATCGTCGATTCCCCAGAAAATATGGGAAAATATGGGAAGTGGGGGGGAAGACAGAAACCCAGAAAATATGGGAAAATATGGGGAATATTTATCGGAGGTTGGGGGGTGAGATCGAAGTGGAACGGAGAGCCCCCTACCGGGACATCGATTTCGGTTTCGTGTTCGTGCGTGCCGTGCGGGCGAGGCGAAGCTGCGTGGGCGGGCGAGAGAAAGTCTCCTGTGGCTGAGGCGCGGCCGGACCAAATGTCTCCCTTCCGGGCGGCCGGTGGCCCGCGGTGTCCCGCCAGGTGTCCCGCTGGTGTCCCGTGTGGCTGAGGCGCGGCCGGACCAAATGACTCCCTTCCGGGCGGCCGGTGGCCCGCGGTGTCCCGCCGGTGTCCCGCGGTGTCCCGCGGTGTCCCGCGGTGTCCCGCGGTGTCCCGCGGTGTCCCGCCGGTGTCCCGCGGTGTCCCGCGAGGATGATGATGATGATGATGATGAAATGATGATGATGATGATGATGATGATGATGATGATGATGATGATGATGATGATGATGATGATGATGATGATGATGATGATGATGATGAGATGATGATGATGATGATGATGATGATGATGATGCTGATGATGAGATGATGATGATGGTGTCCCGATGAAGATGATGATGATGTTGATGATGGTGTCGATGATGATGATAGTGTCCCGATGATGAGGATGATGATGCTCATAGTGATTATGTTGATGATGATGACGATGATGGTGTCCCGGTGATGATGATGATGATGATGATGATGATGATGATGATGATGATGATGATGATGATGATGATAATGATGATTCCGATGATGTTCGTGATGATGATGTTGATGGAAATGGTGTCCTGGCGATAATGTCGTTGATGATGATGTTGCT